CAACCCACGCGGATGAACATAACGTCAGCTCATGGTCAACAGTGAATATTTATTGCAAGCAATCTAGGCGTTGGGTAGGGCTACTTTAAGGTTTAATGACATGGGACAATCAATCAATGATGGAAAAAAACGATTCACCCAAGTTTGTGATCAACCTTTATTTAGAAATATGCGCAATTCAAACCAAATATCAATGGATTATTTTCATCTGTTATTTTTTTCTCTTTTATTCTTTATTTAAACCAGTGTTTCAACAAGGTCTGTATTGCGGCACCCCGTAATCCAGTGAACATCATCGATAAAATATTCCAGCCACAATCACATTAATTCAATTATCTTTGAAATAGTCCTGCACCATAAACTCGGGGAAATGATAGTTTGTTATTATCATAAATTCGTCGTCAATACACACATAGATTATCACTGTTTAAATTGATAATAACTTCGCAATAGTGAACAACACGAACTGCAGAGTCGTCTTTTTATCATTTGATGAAATTCATTCAGTGTTTTATAATTGTTATGCCTGAAGAACTTGCCAATATGCATTAATGGATTTAATGCACTCCCCTGTCCTCTGCGCTCCGATTTAAATCTCGGTAATTTAGTGTGTGGAAAATAGATTTCATTGATGTCATTGCATAAGTGTGTACAGCCGATTAGATGGTGGAGTGAAATGATTTTTTATGGACGGCCGCTACATGAAATCATCGTACTCGTTGTCATACGCATCGTATCCGTATTCACTGAGATGTGTATTCTCACCCTCAATTTTCAATTTCGCCTTGCCTTTACCCTTGCTTTTCTTTCCTTTATCACCTTTCTCAAGCTTCGACTTTTCGATAGCTAAATTATCCACTGTTGTCTTTATTTTTTTCAGGGTAATCGAAGAAACTGAAGCATAAAAATCATAAATGGATCAATAACAATAAGAAGAAAATTAGCACAACCTTTAAATTATTTTTCAAATTTACAATCTTTGTCAATGGAAATAATAACGAAGCAATTAAATAATTAACAAAATCTCGAATTTTTATTTATAAATCGACTATCTAATTAATTCCAAATGATAAAGATGTTGAGATTTCTTTTTAAATCTTCCCCTCTTTCATAAATATCTGAATAAATCGGTGATTTTTCATTTTGAACTTACGATTTACAGCTATACGATTTATTAACTCCTCAGCAAATGCCGGGAACTCCGTGTGCTTGTTGAATTGATTGATCTTAGCTATGAGTTGTTCACCGAACTGCTCGAACTCTTCCTTCGTATCTGGCATCATGGCATCTAAAGCTGTCACGCCTTCGAAAAAAACGCATTCATCTATTTACAAGAATTCCATTTTTTTTTCCAAAAAGTCCTAATAACTTTCAGCTTGAATTCAATCAGGAACAGTACTGGGATAGACTGATAACACAATTGCTAATGACAATGAGGAATAAAAACTGATTTATACACGATAATCTTTTGCATGAAACAGTAATTTTTATTATAGTACAATAACAGTAGTGTTTTATCTCTATCTTTTCTTGTCTCGTTAGTTTTCATCTCTTTAAAAGTAATAAAATTGACAATTGATTTGCTTAGGTTGTCACATCTATCTCGGTACAGTTCCTGACGATCTCCACATGATTTTTTATTGTTTATATTTATAAATTTAACGAATGGAAAATCTCATTTGGACAATTATTATCGATCCTCAATTTTAATAATACTGCATTTCCTCATAGAAATGACGTACGTCGCGTTTTTTCGTTTAATGACTAATTTTGCACACATTGGATACAATCGACGATGATTTTCAATTTTTAGAGGCATTTCGTGCCCGATTTTGATAATAAATTACGACAGATTCATGGATTTATGTAAACATTAATTGATTGTTGATTTTATAGTTAATTTATAAATAATTTTTCACTCGACAGCTCATCCCGATTTACGAGTTTTTTCTTTCTTAAAACAATTTGTTCCATTCACTCGTGACTTTTTTAT